GATATGTCAAGGATACTACCTGGCCCCGGCTTTGTTACAGGTCCTCAGCAGAGACAGTCCTCTATGGTCTTAAAGTCCAGTGGGAAATAGACACCTAAAGCAGGTAAGATGGAAAAAGTGCTGTGAGTAATAGGAAAAATCACATACGGTTAAAGATAAGGAAAGGCAGACTGATAGACTTGGATCTTTGAACATTTTTAATACCTAACATGCAGTTGCTATGTATAAACGGATAATTTTAACTTCATTCAACTCAATATTAAAGTGTTTATATTTGGAACTAACTAGAGTAAAACCACTTATTTTCAACCCTGCAATTTGCAATCAGATAGCAATGGGTTGAAGGTGTCTGCACTTTTCAAATGGAGTGACATTATGCAGAATACCTAACCTCGAAATGCCTGAATTTCTTTATCTGGTTGCTGTGAGGCAGAAGTTGAATAATGCAGGCGAAGCACACACACACTGCCTGGCTTATAAAAACTGGACAAGAAATGGCAACGGTTTCTTCCTTCCTTTGCTGAGTGATCTCAGCCACGCAGAAAGAAGAGTTTATTAGAGGCAGCAGAATGTCAAAATCCTCTGATCTGTAAAGGAACCTAAGTTTTGCCAAATAGTGTCTACATGGTTTCAATGGAAATAAGGCCCCCAAAGCTAGAATATGCAAGCTTTAAATAGGTCAAATGGAATCCAAGTCAGAGAAAGATAACACCAGAGTGACATCTTTGCTCCATAAAGTACTAAATAGCCCCACCCCTGTGCTTTGTGTATATGGCGGAGCTCCTCCATCTCTCCTAGTGATACATCTGTTTCCCAGCCCCAGGGTCTATTTTCTCTAAAAACAAGGTTCTTTTCTTGGTAGAATGACTTCCAGAAAATTAAATTGCAGTAATTTCTTAGGGTCCTCAAATTAAGTTTCCTGATGGCCTCCAGAAATTAACATAGCTTCCTAAACATCAGAAACCACAGGAACTGCAGGCATACCTACTGTACAGGTAGCATCTAAGACAACTAAGAAAAATGCACTCTTTAAGTTCTCTTTAAAGTAATCCTCCAAAACATTTACAATTTTAATAATTTATATGGGGCTTAGTATCTACGGGCTATAATGGTCTCTCTAGGTATTGTACTCAAAGTAAATGGTACCAGGAGAGTTATTAAGTGTTCTCAAGTTAAGTTAGGCTAAAAATTGGTTCACTTGGGGAATGTTTCTTTTTGAAAATAGCCTGATTTAGTCTCAACCAAGTTTCACTAGAAAACCTTGGATTTCAAAAATATACCTCACTTTCAATTTTCACTTGACTGTGATTCTCACCTCTGAGCTACAGGCAATTGATCTCTCTCCAGAACCCTGAGTGGGAATCTGTCCTTGACATTAGAATGGCAGGAGGGAGCTACAGCGTATGCCCCTCCATAAACTCATCCCTGGGGCTTGGCATCGTGAGAGCTCCTCAAGCATGTTCAGGGAAGGTTGTCCAATTCTGCTCCCCTTCATTCTTGGCTCCCAGCCCACATCCATTGGAAGAGTTAGGGTTCTGCACAATAATTCAGAATTGCCCTGCTACAATTCCAATGTATTTTGAAAGCAGTGCATCCTTGGCACCTACTCAGTATTTACACGCGCACTAAATCAGGCTGCTGTGCTCTAGTTGTGGAAAACACATGAGCTTCTCAGTCAAACAATTTTGTGATCTTCTGCAAGTGATTTTGCTTCTCTGAGTCTCAATTTCCTCATTCCCAAAATGGGGGTAATAGTAGGTATCTTACAGGATTACTATGAGAGTTCAATAAGACAAGGTTTAGTAAGGAAACTAGTACAATATCTGATCTATAGCAGATGCTCAATAAATGGTCATTGCTATATTTTCCATTGTTTCTTTTTTTATCCATCAGGATCATCTTTATCAGTGCCACGAAAACAAGAGCCTGCTGAGGGGCCCCATAGAATGGGATATTGGAAATTCGAGTCAGGTCTCATTTTTAATCTACCATCAGGTTTTCTGCTCTTTAGGGCAAATTATCCATCCACTCTGAACTCCTATTCTCAGGGATATATTATCTGGGAGACATTCAAGCTAGAAAGAACTGTGGGCTGAGGTGATCAAATCAAGGTGAAGGATTTGGATAAGAACAAGGATGTTTCTTCAGTTTGGCCTTGGGAGAGATGAAGCTGAGTGACAACAAGAGAACTGGAAGAAGACCCTCCCCCCTGGTTAGTACTGACTCCAGGCTATAAGGTGAGTGGCAAGTGGGGGTCGGGGATCAGGTCAGTCTGTCCGGATAGGATCCCCTGTGATCACTGCTATGACACGAAGGGTCATTAGCACTTTGGGGGTTTGGATAGGGAGTCCTCTGGGGGTCAGTAAGCCCTCCTGGGGATCAAGCTGGGATCAGGACAGTAATGAGATCTCTAACTCTTCCCTTCTCGATGCATCCAAATTACTTAAAAAACCCTAAGGAAACTCCCTCGAGCAGGGGCTAGAATATGAACAAGGAAAATACTAACAACATGGATAATTTAATATCTTCCAATTGGTTGAAGACTGAGAAACTAGGTTCCTTTTTCCAAACCAAAAATAAGTTGCCTGCTTTCTTTTCATGTTACTCACCGTGTCACTGAGCCCAAAGGAGACGTGCTGAACTGTGGCCGTGAAGTGAACACCTTCAGAAGATTGTTTCCTTCTGTTCCCTTGTGTATGTGCTCACATTTGAATCTGGAGGACGACTCCAATAACTCAGATACCACAGGCCTAGGCACAACTTCCTTTTACTTTTAGAAGAGACAAAAATGATGCACGACCTAGGGGACAGACCACGATCTTCCAGTCCTCATCACCGAACCCACAAAGACACACACTTGCAGAGTCAACAAGCCAGGCACCAAGGCCTTTACCTTCAGGCTGAACAAAATAATGACTAACAGCATGGGCTGAAGACCCACACTCTCTGGATTTGAGCTGGCTCTGACCCTTCCTAGCTGTATGACTTGGAGAAAGTGACTTCACCTGTCCGTGTCTGTGTGAATGCTTCCCCCTTTCACAGATTGCTGTGAGAATGAATGAGGCCACTGTGACCTGTGCCTGGCACGTGGTAGCACTCCCCAGTGTTAGCTGCTGTTAGCTATTGAATTCTGAAAAACCTTAGGTCCCTGTCACGGATCCATTTGCCTAGGCCTTGTGGTATCTTGAATCCTGGCTCTGTCACTAGCTGCGTGCCCTGGGGAAGGTTATTGAACCTCCTGGAGCATCAGTTTCCCTCCCTATAAATTGGGGGCAATAATATTTACTTTCAAAAGTCATTGTGAGGATTAAATATTAATGTTTTGAAAGTGCTTCACACACGTAAATACCTAGTACATAGTAGTTTTTATTTTATCATCTGTAAAAACAGGATAGGTACAACCCGGCCCTGCGTATCTCACAGATTGTTGTGAGACGAATGTACGAGACAAAGCAGTGTAAAGAGCTCTAACATGCCATCTCTTCCAGCCCCCAGGCAAGCAGTGAGCGTGGGTCACAGTAGTCCTGCAGCATCAGGAAGCTGAGCCCTGAGGAGAGTGTGGTCTCTTATGTGATCATAAACAGATTGCTGCTGGTACCATCAGGAAATCCCAGACTGCTCAACGTGAACAAATCCACCCAAACCTTGCTCAAGAATAGCACTTTTTAATTTACTGAAAACTGCTTTCTAAGTTTTTAATTTTAAAGCCACCAATATAGGTTGGTGATTAATAATTTAAGGATGCTTCATTAGAGTGGATAGATTTTTGGAGAAGTCTTTTTGGCTTGAGTCTTCTTCCATTTTAATTTAGTACACGTGGACACATGTTGGTCCTGAGCATTGGGGTACTTATCAGTTTTCTGCATTTTGACCCAAAGGAATGGGTTCAAAGCACTCCTGTGCTTGGGGACAAACACAGGACTCCTCATCCCTGAGGCAGGGAGGTTGACCTCTAAAGACATACCTTTCTTTCACAACTGGCAAATATGAGTCCTTTTTGAATTATTTTATACAGGGTACCCAGAATTTAAATTTTATCCTATTGAATCTGAGGGAAATTGCTTTTTTTCCTACAATGCTATTGCAGTTCTCCAAATAACAATCTCTACACCAGAAGTTAGCACACCTCTCCACGTTGGGAACAATCTAAGAGCATGTCCCTTTACTTGTTTTCAACCGCTACAAGTACTAAAAGAGTTATACGTCTGATGTAAACGTGAATAAAACCAGATACACGGGCCGGCCTGGTGGCGCAGGTGGTTAGGTGCGTGCGCGTCGCTGCAGCAGGCCAGGGTTCGCCGGTTCAGATCCCAGGCGCGCACCAACACACCGCTTGTTAAGCCATGCTGTGGCAGCATCCCATATAAAGTAGAGGAAGATGGGCACGGATGTTAGCCCAGGGCCCGTCTTCCTCAGCAAAAAAGAGGAGGATTGGCATTGGATGTTAGTTCAGGGCTGGTCTTCCTCACACACACAAAAAATAATAATAATTTCTTTGGGGCTGGCCCCGTGGCTTAGCAGTTAAGTGCGCACGCTCCGCTACTGGCGGCCCAGGTCCGGATCCTGGGCGCGCACCGACGCACCGCTTCTCTGGCCATGCTGAGGCCGCACCCCACATACAGCAACTAGAAGGATGTGCAACTATGACATACAACTATCTACTGGGGCTTTGGGGAAAAAAAAAAAAGGAGGAGGATTGGCAATAGATGTTAGCTCAGAGCCGGTCTTCCTCAGCAAAAAGAGGAGGATTAGCACGGATGTTAGCTCAGGGCTGATCTTCCTCACACACACACACACACACAAAAAGATACAAGAGTTCATTTAGGCTTCTTCCAAGAAAGCTTCTTCCCTCCTAATCGGTTTTGATCCCTCTCACTGTTATCTCTCCTCAATTAGACTTGGAACTCACTGTAGCCTGGAATATGCTTCAGATATTTTGGTTTTCCATCAAAATACTCACAGCCCAATAGTACCCTGCACACAACCAGGGATCAATAAATGGTTTTTGAGTGCATTTATTTAGTCTTTGGAACAATGTCTTTTGTAGTGAAATTTCAGTTGAAGACTTCTTCTAATCAAGAGTTGTTTTGTTTTCCTGAATAATAAGATTGGAAGGTGTTTTCTTTCTTTCTGGCAGAATAAAATCTGCGTGTCCTGGTGAAAGCTTAGGAAATGTATAATTGATGTATTTTTGAAATGCCACCCTTGTTTCCTGTAATTCTTCCTCCAGGAAATCTTTCCAATTTGTCATAATTCCCAGTTGTTTCGCTAAGGACAGCAGCTCCCCCTGAGTGTTAACCAGTTCATCCATCACATTTCCAAGCGAGGCCTGATGTGTTTTCTCTGCTTCTTGAAGCACTTCCTGAACCTCCTCCTGCTTCTGCCTCTGAACCATGCAATAGTAGATCTTCATTTCTTGTTCTTTTTCCTTTATCAAGTGGCTCACACTCTTCTTCTGATCCTTAATACCAGTCATACTAGTGTCCACAAGTTCCTCCATGGTCTTTCTACAGAAGATAATATGGGTTTAAAAGTTAGATGGGTTAGTCACTAAAAACAAAAAGATTTTTGTCTTTTACCACATATGTATGAGAAATTATTACATTGTTTAGATGACCCACCAGTCTGAGACAGGCCGGTAGAGATGAGCTTTTGGATTACATTAGTTGTTAACAATCAAAAATCATTTTTCAGTGGAGGGAGGTCGCCCGTGGACTTCCCTACTGTGGGCTAGGGCAAGGCCGATAGTCTAGTATCTGACAGTAACTTTAGGGACCTGAGTCCACCTTGGCCAGAAAAACACAGTGTGCTTAAAAATGAAGAAATAGGGTCAGAGTTCCAAATCCCTAGAGAAAGTATTTCTGCATATCAATCCAGCTACTTACCTTTAGCCAGAGGGGAGAAAATTTTGTACTCACAGGTTAGGTTTAGCTCTAATCTTGATTTTATCTCAGCAATTCTCTATGACAGTGCCTCAAACTCTTTCGTCTCAAGACCTCTTTTTGCTCTTAAAATGACCAAGGAACTCAAGGAACTTTTGTTTATATGGGTTATATCTAGTAACACTATTAGAAATTAAAAGTGAGACATTTAAAAAATATTTATAAATTCATGTAAAGCATCAATAAATCCATTAAATGTTAACATAACTTACATTTATAAAAAATATATTTTCCAAATCAAAAAAACTTTTGCTGAAAAAAGTGGCATCATTTTACAACTTTTGCAAAAATCTTTACTGTCTGACAATAGAAAAAAGCTGGATTTTCGTATTGTGTTAAGAGGTCACTATAAATTTTCTATTAGGAGGGCAACACAATGAAAATACCATTTAGAATTGTTATTCTGGTAACAGTGAGAGACCAATTCATACTATTTTGTAATATTCTGAGTGTGTAAGGATTAGGGTCTGAACTGTGATGAAAGAGAATAATGAGAAAGAGATAGGAAGAGGGAGAGAAAGGGATAAATCCAAGAAATATACAATGGCATAAGGGCCAGAATCTGTGACTGCTGGGATGCAGCAAAAAGAGGACTCAAGACCAACTTCCTGATGGCAGCCTGAGTCACAGGAGAAAGGAGGTGCCGTTAATAGAAGTGACGCCGTGGACAGAGACGGAGTGAGCATCTGCTCTATACACACCCTTAGGATGTAGTCTGATGTTTTATAAAATCTTCGGGATGTTGGTGAGATTGTGAAGGTGATGACCAGGGCCCCTGGGACTTAGATCAGAAGGAACTGGAAAGAAGCTTCCTTGAGCCAGCCCCAAATCCCTAAGAAGGAAGTTGCACTCCTCCTCCAGAACCTCAGCTCTGTCACAAGCAGGCGTGAGCTTCCTGCCAGGTTGGCCAGGCTTTCCTCTGGCCCACACAAAGGAGGTGTTCATCTACGGGGTCGACTAGAAGTCTCCACCAAAGCTGACCTCATGTAAAACTGCTCAAATAAAGTTCATCTTGAACGACTCCATCTCTCACCCTTCACCATGGCCCCCTTTAAATTCCTTGCTATCAAGATCTGTTCTAGAAGGATCTGGTATCTTTTGGAATGTCCTTTCCAACTTTTCCCAGCCTGCTTTAGAGCCTGAATTTTTAACCCTTTGGGATTCCCCCCTTTTGGTTTAAGATCAGAGTGTCTCTGACCTTTATTCTGATGATTTCCTTGAAGTCATAGAATTGAAGCCAGGAGAAAGGCGGGTGCAGGGCATGGAGGGTATGGTGGCAGACGGCCTGGAGTGCCCATTCATCTTTGTATCTCCCCTGCCTGGCATGGTGCCCAGTGTGCATAAAACAGGCAACCAATGAATGTGCGAGTAAATAAATGAGTAATATAGATGTAGTTCTATCCAAAACGCTATTTTTATGCCAAATAACACCAAATTTTAAAATAGCAAATTAGAGCCTTAAAAAAGCCTAAAAGAATTCATGCTTAAAAAGGATTGTTAGCATAAGCAAAATATTCACTATAAGAAAATAGTCAATTCTTGTGGTATATCTAAAATATCTTTTGATTTCCACAAATTATCCACATTGTTTTTTTCCCAAAAGAGGGCCTAGAAATCATATCATATGAGGAAGGACTGAAGGAATTAGGTCACTAGTACTTTTTGGTTTTTCCTTTCCTTCTCCAAACTAAAGCTTGGACAATGTCTCCTCAAATATCTGAAGGATGACTGTGCACAGGAGAGATGCAGAGCTAGAAGCCAAGGATGGACGTGAGGGTAAGGCCCAGCATATTCTGGGTCCACATTAGGAAGCACAGGACAGGTAGAGCTGTTCCGCATTTGAACAACCCACCTCACCCAGCAGTAAAATTCATGTCACAGTTGCCCTCAGGAAGAGGCTCACCAACCCCTGGCGGGCATCCAGAAGAAGAGGTGGCAGGTTCAACTCGATGACCTCTAGTGCCCCTTCCAACGTGAAGTGAAATTGCAAAGTAAATGTGAAGTCTATGTTTCTTTCTGTAAACAGTGAGGTCCATCTGCCGTCTCTAACTTCATGAGGTTATAATCTTGGAATTTAATGTTAGTGCTGGCCAGAAACTGAACTATTTTCAGGATAATTTTAGTGTGTCCACTATCTATAGGAGTCAGTCTGATATTTTATAAAATGGGCTCCCAGAGAATAAAAATAGATTACTAAATAAAAATATAATCTAATATATAATAATCCAACCTCACTAGGCTCTTGGGGAAAAAATAAAGTATGGCAAATCATACTAGCAAATGATTTGTCCTTTGCTCTCTTTAGGGCCTCTCTTAGCTCTCCTTCTCACTATTTTTGGGAGGCTGTTGAAATGGTACAAGATGTATTGCTCACAGGTTTAATGAAAAATATCAGTGGCGCTTCTTTCCCTTCTACCTATTAGGTCAACTTTCCATTTTCCTCATGTATGTTGCTTGCTAAGAGCACACTTTTCAACTTCCTTTCTATGTCCATCAATAAAACTCCTGGATCTTAACACAGTAAGAACTAACACTTCATTTCTCCATAGGCAATTCCTAAATTATGAAGGGATTTGTTCCTAAAATTAATTTATACATCAAGTATTTAGAGCAATGTTGAACTAGCAGATCATTTGCCTGCTGAGCCCACAATAAGCTATTAATCCATTTTCACTTGAACTACAGGACTGTTAGCACTATTTTAATCAGTTATAACCACTGTGTTTATAAGAAAAATACATTCCGATTTTCTACCTAGGAACCTACTGCCCCCTGGTCTGGCAGGAGGATCAGTGATACCCCCAGGCTGGGGCTGCAGGCATTACAGAGGTTGTGGGAGACAGCTCCAGAGGCCAGCCTTCAGCAGCACATTTATATCTCAGGGGTATTAATAGTCTCAACCTTCCCTTGGCTCTGCATCATTATACCTCCCACTTTCCCCCTCCACGTGTTGGCTCATGCTGTTCTCACTCTTCAGTCTTTCACAAATGGGACCTCCTCCCTTCTCTCTAAGGCCCAAACCAAGACTAGCTTCCTCCAAGAAAGCTACCTCACCACACAGCCCACACACTCTTTGCTTGATCTTTCCAGAACTTGGAACTCTTCTAGCACCTATGTGGTCTTTGTATAAGTCCATCTAGCCTTGCTCATATGGGGCAGCCATGCTTTAGTTACTTCACGTAATGTTGAGGAAAGACCCTTATTTCTTTATGCCAAAGGTGAGGACCACATCTATAGAAGACACTTGATAAGCTCTGGTGAAGTGAGCAGCAAGCGTCATGGAAGGTCACACGCTTTGACATCATATAGACCAGGGTTCCCATCAGGCCCTGTCACCTCCTCTCCACACGACCTTTGGCAGGTTGCTTAGTCTCTCTTTAAGATTCAGTGTCTTCATCTGAAGATATTGAGAATGACAGAATGCCCCAGGAAGGACTATGAGGATTCAATGAGAAGCATACAAAGGGCCTTGCATGTGCTGGGTGTTGAATCAAGGGTAGCTGTCATTAGGAATTACAGCCATGACCACAAAAATTCCTGAGCAGTCAGTTCATTGAAGCCTTCGCCTTGGGCTAGAAAACATTTAGAACATTTCCAAGCAAAGATGTTTCCTTCTTTCTTTCTTTCTTTTTTTTAACTTCATGAGAAAGAGTACAGTGTCTCCTAGATAATCTGTTTTGAATCTAATCACCTCAATCCACAAAAAAGTTTTCTGTGCCTTTAACAAATCTGTCATAATATGTAAGTATTCTGAATCCTTGAGTCTTGAGTGAAAGTTTATAGCCAAATGAAAGATCTACAGTGGAATTTTAAACAGTGGTCCTTCTTCATATATAAGTTTCTGCAAATGCTCCAAAGAACACTGGACTCTAGCAATGCCTAGAAATAAGATCTAGTGTGCTGCAGAGTGGGTTCAGCTGATTGGAACACATTTGAACCTTTGTTTAATAAGTATTTAAAGAATGCTTACCATCTGCGAAGCTCTCCTCCAGGCACTTGGGACACATAATGACAAAAAGGAACATTCTAGCTGGATATACTTCAGCAACACGCATGGCAGTTCCCTAATCTTAGTCAACTGACTTAATAAAAGGTGGCCATTGAGAACCTTCCATTCAAATCTCACAGAGGAAAGGGCTGAAGTGGGTCGAAAGCAATAGAGTGAGGGAGGGAGCAGGAGACTGCAGGTGAGAGAGTGGATCCAGAAGCTCCTACAGGATGGGCCAAGCTCCTGCAGATGGAGGGTGGGGAGCAGAGGGAGAAGAGAGTACCATCTTCCATTGCTTTGGACCACAACTCATTTAGGAGTTACCACCGTCTCTAATTTTCTCCAGAAGTCCTCCTTCACCTTCCTCTTCTTTCTGCGTCAAGAGTGATTTACAGCCTATGCAAGAAGGTAGGTACCACTGACATGGCCTCAGCTGCAGCCCTCATTCTTATTTATCTGCACCTCCTACAGGATTTTACCTTTGGCCCTGTTCTAAACAGTTCTAATGAGGAAGATTTTACCCATTAATTATACACAAATAGATTTGTTTGTTAACTTAAGCAGCAAAGAAAAAGAGACAAGTCCTATACTAGGAGGCCAAACACAGAGGTTTCAGTCTTGGTTCCGCTGCTACAGCTACGTGATCTTGGGCAGGTCACTTAACAACTGGAAACCATAGTTTTCTCTCGATCCTGATAATTACTAGGGCTCCTGACTGCTGTCCTGTTAAAACTGGCCAATTCCGTGAAATGTTCATTACATATATAAAAATGGTTACTTTGGTATTCTTCATATATATATGATTTACGTAAAAAATTATTTGTAATTATGCACATACATAAGGCTGTAAAGACATCAAAGGGCGTGGAAGGATACAGACCCCATTTAAAAATGATTGTCTCTGGGAGACAGGGAGGGGGCAGGGAGCAGTGAATCAAGACTTAGCAATTTTTGCTCTATATAGCTCTATAATGTCAACATCATTTACAACACATACTACTTGTGTAATAAGAAAAGACCAAAAGTAACACATTCACAATAGTGTATGGTACAGGCTAGAGAATGTGAAGATTGACTTTTATGTGTTAGTGGAAAAATATTTCTTGATTCCTCTCCTCACTCTCTTAAAACTGGAGATACAGAATGAAAAGCACAATATTTAGAACAGTAGTTATCTCCCCAGAGGCAGGAGAGGAAGGAAATGTGATTAAGGAAGAGCACGTGGGAGCTTCAGAAGTGTTAGCAATTTTCAGTCCCTTCAGATGGGTGGTAGGTCCTTGAGTATTCATGTTATTATTTTCCCTTAAATCACACACACACACACATACATTCTACAACATATTGTATATTATTCTCTATGTTTGATATATTCCATAACAAAAATGTAAAAACAAAAACTGGGAAATATCCACCCATGTGCCTCAACCTTATCCCTTTCCCCAGCTTGCTTCTGGCAGAGTACGATCCTGATTTCCAGTGTGTTCCCTGGAATACCTTCTCTGGTCCTGGATTACTTCCTGGGCCATCCGCCTCTCTTCAGCCCTGGCCTTCTCCACAGCCTGGATCTTCTCCCTGTGGCACTCCATCATAAGCCTTTGGATTCTGTGGACCATGCGTTGTTCCGCAGCCAAGTGTTCTCTCTTCAGTTCATCTTCCATGTGTTGATGCATCTCCATCTTGGTTTTAGCTGCCATTTCCTTAAGCAACAGTAAAACTAGATTTAGATGTTACAGCTTTGATGTTTAAAAATGCACACTAAGAGGTTATTCAAATCAGAATTCATCTACCTGATGGAACGTATGCCTGTTAACCCTGATGATTTAAAAGGAGAGTGTGTACGATATGGAAAACTTTCATTTATAATGATGCTCAGTAAAACCAGAAATCTCCAAACTATATAGCATAAGTATGTCGGTAGATAATATCAGATGGGAATATGCAAAAAAGAAAATAATTGGGTTATAGGCCTTTTTCTTCTTGATTGCCCAAATATTCTATAGCGTCATATTATCTTTATCCACAATTAGAAATACATAATATGATTCTATTTTAGGAAATCAGTCCTGGAAAATGGCAGAAATAATGACTATGCCTCCTGAGGGTCTCCTGGGCAGGAGGGACCTGAGGCTCAGGCAGCGACAGTGGTACATGACTGCAGTCACAGGAACCTGCCTGCCAGTCCCCACTGTCACTCAGGTGTTCCAGCTCACCAGCATTGAGGGGCCCTTTCTCATTCACAGAGGGGACAGGAACAAGCGCTCCCTTGCTCCAGGGTACAAGGACCTGTGAACACCTTGGGCCAAGTAAAGAGAGGAGGCACTAGTCAAACCAGGACTTGAGGAAAATGAGCTCACAAAGAAATCCTCAAAATGTCACCATTCTGAAAATGCCTCCTAACTCCACCGTGAGCCAGGCACTGTGCGAGGCCCAGATGCTACCAACACGTTCTCCTGGCTGGAATCCTTGTCCTTGGGAACTCACCATCTGCTGGAGGAGACCAACAACCTGACTGTGCAGAGAGTGTCTTAACAGAAATATACGCAAGACAGGAGGCGCAATCGATTCTGTCTAGCAGTTTCAAAGCTTTCATTTAAAGGTAAATTTTTATCTCTGTTATAGGGATAACAAGAGAACGTACAGAAATAAGTTATTTCATATAGCGGGTCAGTGGAAGAACTAGGAATAGAAACCAGGAATCTTGATGCCAGTTTCTCGCTTCATTGCTGGCAGTGATGCTAGGGTCTTTCAAGAGATTCAGCAATTTGTTTTCATTCCAGAACCCCTGTACAGTCTTATCAGATAGTACAGTGAGCTTCCTTCCGCCCTCCCTTCCTTTCTTCCACCCTCCCTCCCTCTCTCCCTCCCTCTCTCCCTCCCTCTCTTCCTTCCTTCCTCCTTCCTTCCCTCCTTCCTTCCTTCCTAGCTTCAGGATCCCTTCTTCAAATGAAATTTTACCCAGAGTAGAAAGAAATGAAACCTACAAGAGTTCCGGCTGGAGGTTGCCCCACCCCCTTTACCAGCCTGTCTGCGGGCCCCCTGGCGGGCCCCCTGACGGAGGCAGCTCCATTTACAGCGTACGCAAAGAATCCTACAGCTGAAGCTGCAAGTCAAGAGAACTCTAAGTTTTAAGGGAAACTGGAACCACTTTAGTTTTGTAGAAAAGCATTTCAACAATTAAAATATTTGTTAGGCAGATTTCAGCTTTTTCAAGAGAAGGAACATTTTCAGCTTCTCACTTGGGCTACTCCAAAGGTGCAAAATATAAAAATGAAAAAGACAACAGAAATCAACTTTAAGAATCTCTCCAGAGTGGCCTCAGTTCATGTAGTTAGAAAATCTTTTTTAGGGAAACATTGGCTGTTTAGAAATGTTAGCTGGGTTTTCCATACTGCAGAAGGCTTTGTCTCTTAAAGCACTAAAACTTTTTGATAATAAAATATTTTGAATGGAAATCTTTCTAAATGTCTTTTAACACTTACCTCACTTCAAAAAAGAGTATAATGAACACATTTTAAGATTTCTTGATGATCCAGGCTAGTAGATAAAGACGAATGATTGTATTGGGCTAAGTACTTTATACTGCACTTAAAAATTGTTCAAGTTCACAGGTCATAAATGACCCCAGACTGTTTTGCTTTTTGAGATCTGATATGTGATTTTTGTAATTTTTCTTGTTCTTCACATGCTATTGGGCCAAGGACTCTGTTCTAACCGCTGTCAGTGAGCTCCATTTTCTCATTTCTTATTTCCAGGATTTAATCTATTTTGGATTTGTGAAATCAATCAACCAGATCTGTTGGGTTGAGATTGTCAAATAAGTGTAAATAACATTGGAGTGGGGAATAGAGAGGCTCTGCCATGGGTAATAAGCCTGAGTTTTTATCTTGTAATCAGAGGACTTATTTAACTTCTTGGGGGATGTTTTAAATTATTTCTGGGTTTTCAAGTCTATTCTCAGCAGTAGAGATTGTGGAGTGGTTGAGATTTAGGTAGATGAAGTATTATCATAACACGTTTCTATTTGAATCACAGAATTTAAAAATGACATCCCAGCCTTTTATTGTGGCTGGGTTCTGATCTAGGACCCAGGGAATTAAACCCAGTCCCTCTTTTATGTAACGATTTAGTAAAACCAAAATCATTTTACTGCCTCACATAGCATGTGGAATACATATTTAAAGCTACAAAAATAATTCAATGACCTATTGTTTGGCAGTGTTCTTATTCAATGGAAAGTCTTCCAGTTAAATTAGTTTTACCAAAAGGCATTTTGAGTGAATCAGCCTGTATTTTGGGATATTATAAGAAACAGCCTCAAGAAATCCATCATGTTTACTGTACAGATGTTTGATAGACATTTATTACACAACGTCTCCCTCGGGAGAAGTTTCTCCCAGGTACTGCATGTGGGAATATCTGAGCTTCTCAGAGTACCTGATTTGTTTTTACCTTGTGGACATAGTGATTCATGGCATTTTCCTCCTTGCATTGACTGCCAGGAAGCTCAAGGCCCAATTGCACAGGACCTCATGGTGTACATACATTTTTAAGTTTTAAATTCACCCCTGACTTCATTATATTTTCTAGTCTGATTTTCCTTCTCTTATTTTCCCTTAGCTTCCATCTTATCATTTACTTTTTAATATTATTGTATTTGAACGAGATAAACACCTTTTCAAAATACTACTGTCCACTGGATAAGATCTTGAAATTTTACTTAATAGCAAGCATCTGAGACTTATCCCAAATTCCTAACATCATATAAAAGCAATACCTGATGGTCTTTACGTATCAGAATTTAATGATATTTGATTTTAGAAGATCTTGGTTTTCTCAAACTCTAATATGTGTGAGAATCACATAGGCTGCTGGTTAAAAACACTGTCAGGGACTCAGTAGGTCAGGTGGGGCCCAGGAATCCGCATGTTAAGCTCCCAGGTGAGCAGATTCTAAGGCAGGTGGTTCATAGACGCTCCTGAGAAGCAGTGCTAACATCCATGTCTGTGTGCCCTACAGTTGAAATAACAACCCTAGGCACCCCTCTTAGACAAATCACTTCTTTATACATAAAAAACGTCCCTGAGACTGTGGCACAAATGTAAATTCCCAAACTCTAGACAAATATTTTAGGAAGGGCAACCTTCCTCTAACTTTTCCCCTTTAACTTTTCTTAGGACTTCTTCTATTTTAGCACTAAGTGTATCAACTCCACCAATGACAATCAAATTACTTAAAGGAAGACTAGGATGTGGGCTCCTTGAAAGAGGCATCACTTCTAAGTTGTCCTGTATCTTCACAACCTAATGCCAGAAGTGATACTCAAATGTGTATCCTTTGGCTGCTGCATTGGAGCAGGGTCCTAGAGCCCCTACCGATTTAAAGGCTTGTCCCTTTAAACTGCTGTGTTGGGGGAGGTCCAGGGGTCTCGGGGGACCAGGTGACCAAGGTGTTAGGGGGTTTGGGAAGTGGCTATTTATCAACCCATAGAGAGGTATTTCAATACTTTAAGAACTGGTATGGCCATACTGGTATGTGCCAGCCGAACGGCAGGCCTGTTTAGACGTGCTATAAATGTTCTTCAAGTTTTGAACTGAAATAGGGGAAGGGCAGTGGACCCGTGCAGCCAAGCCCTCAGGGACCATGGCCGCTGGAGCCAAGCAGGGAGGGTCCCACTACCCTCCAGGAACCCTGGGCTGGAGCTCCCTTTCCTGCCAGCAGGTTTTCTGAGGTCAAGGGACGTCCATTTGATCTCACCTCATACAGATCTGACTCATGGGAGGTGCGCATTGCTGAAACAATAAAAACATGGGCCTGTGGTCCCTAAATTGTTTATGAGGTATGTTCTTATTAAGTTAGGCCAGACCTGGGGCCAGACTTCTACCACTTTCCCTCCAGCCTCAGCCCATGAATCCTCACATCTGCACCACTTACTGTCCTGTCCCTCCCAAGGCCAACATGTGAAATAGTTCTGTATTCTTTTGCTTTGAGCAGATTTTGTAGCCGAGGTACTGAACTAAATAATGAATCCCTGGGCCTCTGCCTGGAACATTTGCTAATTATCTAGAGACATGTGCTTAAACAAGTTAGAGGTTAGAAAGAGTTCCCTTCATTTTATGACCTCTGGTCCTCCAGGGTATACTTGAGAAACAGCTCAGGATCCCTCTTGGCACTATAGTAAATGCAAATTTGGGAAAAAGGATGCAACCAGGGAGCCTGAGAGAAGGTATGGAACAGCATACCTCCTTCATTCAACAACTATTTGCATACTGACTAAGTCAAGGCACTGTGCGGGGCACTAGGGTGGTAACGAGGCAGACATGCCCTTATGGGGGCCGCAGTCACGGGAGATCAGACATTCAGCAAGTAATCAATCTGTTTAATTACAACGGTGATGGGTGATGACTGCTGTGAATGAGGACAGGGTCTCAAGGAGAGTGTATGGGTGGCAGGGCAGAGCTGGTCATGTCAGGTAAAGCTTCCCTTTACTAGTAATGTTTGAGCTAAATCTAATGAAATGCGGAAAGAATATTCTGGCAAAGACCCCGAGGTGGGAAAGAGCATGCTATGTTCAGGTTTGAGGATGCAAAGAAGGGCAGTGAGCAGAGGAAAGAAAGCAAGAGGCAAGAGATGCGATGGGTCAGACAGGCAGGGGTGGCTCCTTTGGGCCTTGAAACCCCATAAAAGTTTGGGTTCATTATGTATTCTCCTGCACCCATTCACCCCTGCTGCCAAGGAGTTCAGCATCTTTCTGTGAAATCCTGGGCCTCTCAACCAACCTCCATGAAACATTCATTTAGATTTTACATATTATTTTTTTTCTCTTATTCCCTTGGTAGAGCTTTTCAGTAACTTAAGTACTTTAAAAAAGACAACAAACAAGTCACTATAAAAACCTGTAAATCTTTTTGATGTTCCTCTTCTAGAATCTGAATTTTAATTTTGTGTTTGTCATTCACTTCTTCAAGGGCTTCCTCCACTGCTTGCTTTTGGCGTTCGTCAGCCTTTGAAAGAAAAAGTCCATTTATTTATTAATATATCAGGCTTGCATGTTTACTGAAAATTAGCAACCACCATGGGACCCCTAATTGCTTGCTCCATTCCCATCTCAAACCTCCCATAGCAAACTGGCTGGCTCAGCCAGAGATGCTCTAAAACATCCCAATCCATGGCTAGTATGGCTGTTTCAGGAATTGCTCAAGAGAGCTTTACTGTAGACTGCTGGGTTGCCTTTTTTGGGGGGCGGGGGGAGCACTTTATCTCTTGCTTGATTGACTATCAAAGTAACGTATGCTCATTGCAGAATATATAGAGAAGTGGAAAGATGCACAAAGCTAGAAAGAGCTGAGAAGGAAGGCTGAGTGCCATCCCACATCCCCTGCATCAGGTCTTCAGAAAGAGGGTTTATTACTTTATTTGAAAAGAATGTCCAGAACATTAGATATACTTATATTCAAATTGTAGATTTGAATACACTCTTTGCTATGATGTCTATTTTATAAAGAAACCAAGAAATAATGTTCTAAGCACTGTGGCTTGTCCTGCTCCCAAGGAGCTTTAATTCTCTTTAGGAAGTCATTTACGTCCTTCTGTCTATGACTGAAAGAAGTAGGGGATGGAGGATTGAGATTTTGCTTCAGTTAAGTGTCTGGGACTGACTGTAAGCCCCAACACACTCAAATTGCCCCTATGACCCTCAATAGTCATAAGGACAAGGTATCATGGACTTTAGAGAGACGCGGAGCAAGGAGAGTCATCCATGAGGAAGCATTTGGAAAAAAGAAGCACTTAGAGGTACTACAAACTGCAGAAAGGGCTGGTCTACATACTAAATATTAAGCAATAATAAACACTTCTCAACAGGGATGTCTTTTTTGACCAGTGAGAATAAAGGGAGCAGGAGTCATCCATACATAGGGGCAATTTAGAAGGAAGTCAGTCCTGATGATGTCTGCTTCTTACTAAGCAGCTACTGTGTGCTGGCCACATTATTTCATTGAAGTCGCTCAGCAATCCTATAGAATGAGTATTACTGTTCCTCTTTTACATTTGAAGAAGCCAAGACTACGGAGTTGAAGAATGTGCCCAAGGTCCCACAGATAGCCAGGATTCAGTCAGTTCTGCCTGACTATATTGTTTCAGACAAATCCAAAAAGTGAAAGAGCTGTAAAGATGCACTTAGGTTGATTTCCAACTTCTTTTACCTGAGCCCATACATTAGCTTCTGCTTTTGCAATAAGTTCTTTGAGTATAGCCTCTTGAAATTTCTCTTCTTTATTCAGAATATCTGCCCCGATACCTGGGTATTTGAAAAGAAAAAATCACAAATATCCACAGACTTTTTCTTGCCTTTCCTTTTCACTATTACCCAGATATTTATTAGAGTTATCTAAGAGATATATCCTTTTAGGAGACATCAATCTTTTCATTCAAGATGCCAACAAAAGGGGTAAGTTTTTCCCTAATTGATTAGGAGGGAAGTCAGGCCTGGATACAGTCAGTTGTTCCCTTCATCTCACTCAGTCCACATGGTAGGCAATCGGGGAAGTGCAGTGGCAGAAGGAAGCACATTTTGTACCCCAAAAGTAGAATGGTGAGTGAATATTCAAGACATTAGCACACTATGCTGCTCCTCTCTCCCTGCCCCCATCTGGGTGCTGGTGTTACCTCCATGAGGAAAGTGGCAGCAGAATGCTTTCTTTAGTATACTACATGCCTTTCTCTAGTGTGTGAGTCTTTGTGGGTTTAGCTGCTTCAGTTGTGGAGTGAGCTAAGGGGTAGTAGTTTATCACTTCTCTGTCAATGATCTCATTTAATTTCCACATATTCCCATAATAATACCCTCCCTACTCAGACAAGGAAATAAACGCCCAAAGAGATTAGAGGACCACACAATATTAGAAAGCTAGGGATAGAGCAGGACCTGGGGCCAAGCCCTAAGCTCACTGAGGTGAGCACAGGGCTTTCCCCATCTTCTCTTGTGAGAGTGGGTTTTTACAAGTGGCTCGTGACCTGTATGGGGGTGACAAGCCCTTTGAGTGCTGAAATCACACACAGTCATCTTTCTCTCCAATCAAAACTCTTATAGTACTTATTTTTTATTCCATCCACGTCTCACATCTTGGATTTGTTGGATTATTAACTTTTCATGTGATTGGGTTTTGATGATCAACTTCTTCAAATTACAAAGCACATCTTATACTGCAGTGTATGACTCACGGTGCCTACTTTGGCAATAAGCAGATAAGACATTGTGGACATAAAGTGTTTGCCCAACATCTCTCCCTCGGGTAACAGGACCCATTTCTCTCAGGAACTTCCCTCTCTCATTTCAGGTTGTTCTGGTGGGACTGCCGATCATAGCAGCCAACCCGTTTGGCCCATCACATTATCCCCATTCTCCAGGCACATGCTCAAGCCTGGCCAACCAGGCTCTTCTCTAGGGTTTTATATAAGGATGTAAGGAGAATATAGCTCTTTGTCCTCTGATGTTTCTAAGCTGGAGGTCATAGATGCTTAGAGCTGTTTGGGACCACTTCTCCTCCTTTCCCAGCTGCCAGAGTAAGCCTGGCTGCAGGAGTAAATAGGCCAACTCACTAAGAGAGCAAGTGTGGCCTGACTGAAAGCCCTCATGCCAGATCCCCCTTTGGTTTCTCTTAACTGCTAAAAGGGTCAAGAAATTCCCTTTTATGCATAGTCTAGTCTGAGTTTGTGTTTCTGTGACCTCCAACTGAAAATACATGTTTGGTGGCATTGATTAAAGTCTTTGCAACTAAATTATCAGTGAGTCTAAAAACACAGGGCAGTGAATACCAGTAGAGATGGACACACACTGCATAGGCTCAACATTGTGTAGACAAAATTATGAAAGATCTTCTAGAAAGAAATGTGACTAAGCATGGACCATCAACATGTTGAACTTCATAAAAATGTGATACAATTGTGGGCTGTTATTATCTCTTTATGCTTAAATCCCACTACTTTATGTGAGCTGTTCCCAACCCTGATTGTACAACAGGATCCTGCGTAGCTTTTAAAAAATGCCCATGCTTAAAAAGGAACAAACCATTAATACAAATAACTTGGATGGATCTCAAGGGTATTATGCTAAGTGAAAAAAGCCAACTTCAAGGGTTACATACTGTATGATTCCGTTCATATAACATTCTCAAAGGGACAGAGTGACAGTGATGGAAAACACGTTAGTGGGTGCCAGGGGTTCGGGTTAGTGGGTGTTAAGGGTAACACAAGGGAGTTGCTTTGTGGTGATGGAACAGTTCTATGTCGGGACTGTGGTGATGGTTACATGAATCTACACACGTGAGAAATTTCATAGAACTATACACCAAGAAAAACAAGTGCATGTAAGGGCTGTACCTCAGTTAAGAGTATTGTTCCAATGCCAATTTCCTGGTTTTGAGGATGTATTAGCATTATGTAAGATACTGATGAGAGAAGATGGATGAGGCATACATGGGAACTCTGCTCTATTGTTAAAACTTGTGAGTCTTAAACTATTTCCTAATAAAAAGCTATTCAAATATGTAAAACATAAATGAAAAACAACACATGCTAAGGTCTGATTCTGGAGGTTCCAATTTAGCGAGTCTCTGTTGGATTAGTATTAAATCCAATGAGTCTGTGTTTGGATATTTGTAGTAAAAACAGATTTTTTTTAAATTCTGTAGTACACTGCTAGGGTTGAGACTCACTACCCTATGCAATACTCATTAGTATTTAAGTCGACATTTCAACATGCTTTTGAATTTACTTATAAAGAACAGAGAATCTTGACTCTTTTGACTTAAAATAGTCAACAACAAATAGAGGTTATTGAATAGAAAAGATTAATTTCTAACTAGTTAGATTTAATTTATCCACTTAATTTTTGGATACAGATATCCTAGAAGGCATAAGGACTCAATCAATAAAAGCATATTTAAGAGTGGATGTCCACTGTGCTGAGCGTAAAGTCAAATCACTTTAGAGACTATAATTAATAAGTCATACTAAACATTTACTAAAAGTTAAAATCAGTTTTGGCATTGATATTTTTAGAGGATGATTCCAATTTGATCTTGCCCTACATTTTAGTTTTTTTGAAACACCCTCCATTCTCTATATTTTCAAAGATCAGGAGTGAAATTAAATCTAGTTTCCTAGATTTACCAGGCTAAAGGAAGAGAGGATCAGAGAAGTACTTTGAGAATCCTTAGGAAAATACTTCTAACGCTCAAAGTCAGATTGAAAACTCTGATGGGGATAATGAGAGAAGGAAACTTGTTGTTACAATTTGATTCGCTTATTAGAAGTGTATATAAATATTCTCATGTTATATATATGTATCTACTCTTACATCTCCAGCTACTAATAAAGGTTATAGTTTCTTTCTCCCATTTATTATGGTGTTACTTAGAGATAGTTCCTCTCCTATGTGTATGGAAGGTGCCCAAGTACGGGCAAGGGCAAAAAGAACTCTTATTCAATATTACGTGCCAGGCTTTATAATAGGTACAACTATTTCATTAAAGCCTCATAACAAACCTGCAAGATAGGTATTAACATCTCTATTCACATATAAGGAAACAGACTGAGCAGCTAAGTACCCTGTCCAAGGCACACACAACTGGTAAGTCTGGAAACTGGATTTCAACCCTTTCTTCTCATGCCCAACAGACACTCCTCTAGGACAGCAACTTGGAACAGGAGAGCTGATAAAAGTCTATATAACAGGAAGAATGACATATAACGCTATGAAACATTAGAACAAAGGAAAACAGCAAAGTTACTTACCCAGTATATCTTTGTGAGTGTAAAAGCGTGTCTTAAATGGCTTGTATTCATGGATCCGTTTGAAGGCTTCCCCAAAAGGGGCTGGAGGGATTATTTTATTACAAACAGCACAGCAAACAAAGCTTGTATAATTTGGATTTCTGATCATAATTAAACTTAAGATGTCTTTTACTATGTACAGCTAAAATACTCTTAGGATCAGAAAAAGTAGTTTCAAGAAAAGCTAGAAGTTTTAAGAAAGCTAGAAGAGGTTCAAGGTTTCAGGACGATGCTAGAGGCTGGTAAGAATTAAATGATTCGCCATGACTAGGTAGTGGTAAGGTGCCTAATGTTAAAGAATGGTACTGAAGTTTCTGCCACGTAAGGCATGGGCACTGGATTTGGGAAGATTTAAGCAGTTGCTCCCTCCTATACTCTAGCATTAAATTGTTAACTTACTTAGCAACTGTTGCTAGGTAAGACAAGCTTTGCTCATAAAAGCAACTAGAGATAATGACAACAGGGATCATGGCGCAGGGTTCATTTCCCAGATACCTTCTGTGTTAGTTTCCTGTTGCTGCTCTAACACATTTCCACACATGCAGTGGTTTAAAACAATACAAACGTATTCTCTTGCAGTTCTGGAGGTCAGAAGTGCAAAATAAGTCTTATGGAGCTTCAATCAAGGCGTCAGCAGGGCTGGTTTCGTCTAGAGGCTTTAGGGAGCATCCGTTTCCTTGCCTTTTCCAACTTTTAGAGGCCACCACATTCCTCGGCTCATGGCCTCACATGATGGAGCCTTGTCTCCCCGTTTGCATGGTGACATCGCTTCTTCCTTTGATCTTCTGTTTCACTCTTATAAGGACCTTTGTGATTATAATAAAAGATCATTTCTCCATCTCAAAATCTTTAACGTAATCATATCTGAAAAGTCTCTCTTGCAATATAAGGTAACATAGTCACAGGTTCTGGGAATTAGGATCTGAACATCTTTGGGGGTGGGGTGGGGAAAGGGGAGCATTAGTCAGCCTCCCCCACTTTCTTTTAAATGGCTTATTTAAAGAACTGATTTCTTTTAGGCCAGCAAACAGGGAGTTTAATTCTTTTTCAGGTTATCTATAAATGTGTTTTGGTGCCATGGCAATAAAACTGGGAAATATGACAGTATCTTAAAGGAAAAATTACTTTCATTAAGTCAGCACTCAAAATTACTAAGCCTGGTTTTTAAAATCACATAGTTAACTAATTTGTCATCTATGTTTTAAAATGTAAAGTTCTGCATCCCAAGAACCCCCCTGGTGCCTGACAAACTGGGACAGACTGGTCAACCTATGGAAGATGAGGCTATAAACCAATAAATAACTTCACTGTTTGCTTCAGGAAAGTCTTGAAAACCAATTTATCAATTGAACAGCTTGCTCCTCCAGGCAAACAGCTCTTCTATCAGAATAGATTACTTCCCCGGGCAAAAGGTTACCTGCAGCTTATCAATAGTTTACCTATCAAGTCTTGCTTCAAGACTTAATCTATTATGCTACAGAGTTTTGCCCAATCTCCACCAGATTCCTGCATTGAAAGACCTTCCTTTAATCACTTGAGCCCAGACTCCAAAATGCTGTAAATATCTTGCCCTGACCATCCCCTACCTAGACACAACCGACTTTGTCAAAGTGGCATTTTCCCTTACAGAATGAAAACATCAACACACAGCCAAGCAGCCTTTGACACTGCACACACAAAGACTGTGCTATAACTTGTACCTACTCTGCAAAAGGTATCATAGTTGGGTGACTTCCTCCTCAAATTCAGTGTGACTCCTCCCTGCGCTATTTTTCACAGCTGTGTGCCTCACTGAATCTCCTGCTACCCTGCTTCATAGATGTCACACAGCTCCAGGCTGCTCTCTGGACAGCTCCTGCAGCCCCTCTGTGCTGCGAGAATCTCCTGATAGTGCACCTAACATCTCCCCCACCAAACATCAACTTATTTTGTTGAACAGTAGAAGAATTCTAAAAGAGGATAACATGAAATTAATGCATAAGTTGAAAACAGAAGTATTCTAGTTCTTTAACAACCAAAGTACACAGGGAAACCAAATGCAAAAAATACTTTAAATTAAAAAGCATTTTGTACCACCTAAGTGCATTTTAAACTATATGAAGTGTACTATACAGAGAGGCATACAAAGAAATATTTAGGGCTCGTGGTAAAGATTTAATTTAGTTGCATGGAGATAACTCAATAGCAAAGCTCTTTAATATCTACAAATCAGACATAATTGTATCTTCATGTATCTTACAAAACCACAATAAAGTCCTGGAAATTAAAAACTTACATGATGATGATAAACTTTGCCTGTGCAGTTTATTATTACTTGGTAATAAGAAATGAAACAAAATTTTAGAGATAAGGTTTATTACTGATTACCCCAATCACAATGATTTGGAGAATGGGGTAAATATGTAGAAAAGAAACAGGTCCAGAACCCTTGCCCGAAAGATTTAAATTACATAAGGTAAACCCAGGACAGTAAGGAGACCTTCTTTTCTTATCTATTGAGTAGTTTTAGTTTTCAGATAATTATAAGAACATTTGGTCTTATGTTTATAATATCATTGTAACATTAATTTACAAAAACTAAAATAGCTAACATTTAGTTGTAGTCAAATAAAAACATCATCCCTCAGTATAACATACTTTTTTTTTAAAAGAAAAACTCTAATTACTTCGGGTTATTCTCTCATATAATATTTATTTTCGTAGTTGAGTGGGAGTATCTTTTCAATTAAAATAAATTCTGGACCAAAAATAGCTGAGATAGAAAACCAAAATATAGGAACCACCTGTGACTCTGTAAAAACTGTTTTTAATGTTGACTACAGGCTTTACAATAATTTACAATTATTTCTTTTCCTTCACAAATATAGGTTCTATGCTAGGTAGAAAATGAACATTGCCTTTGCAGATAGCAAAACAAAACTGAACCCTTGTAATAGTTGCAAATGCACAATTCACCTTAAAATATTAAAAATACCATGCAAATTTAACAGCACTGGGTACTTTTATTAGATAGAATTTAATAATTAACAAAAATGACTTCCATTCTCATGGCTTTTATAAGAGGATTTAATAAAAGAAAAATATTGAGAAGCTCTTTCTGTGAAAAAAGAGAGAGAATGGCTGCGGCTATGAAAGGACAAAATTTACTACAGTGGCCTGGTCGCAACTGCTATTTTCTTTCCTTATTAACATATTCTTGAACAAGAAACACAATATCGTGCACTCTATAAAGTCTTTCATTAGAAGATTTTGGAGGCCTTAATAAGATTTCATCTGCGGTAACCAGCACTATTAATCCCATTTAGATGTTTTCCTCCTCATATAACTGTGTCCCTCACTATCGATAGCTTCATAGAGGTCCTTTTTATTCTCCTGTGTTGCATGAAGATAACCAATATAAGCCACGCAAAGCGAAAGGGTTATCAATCCGAAGGCCATTACAGGTTTGTTCTGTCAAAGAAAAAAAATTATAAAGCCTCATTAAGACTAGTAATTTGAGGAGACCCAAATATCTGTCATACTTTGTTCTTGACATACCAAGTTTTGATTACCACTCTACCATTCCTATGGTAATTTTTCAATTATAATGATTTACCCAGTTCTTTATTCAATTAATTCAACTCCTGATAATTTAGAGATTATAGAAGACTCTTGCTCCTCCTCTCCAGGTCTTTCTCCTGTCTACAGCCTGGACATGTCAGACCTCCACCTTCAGGAAGGTGATGGTTGGGAGAGGGGTGTGGGAAACGAGAGGCATGGAAATCGGTCTAGTGCTCAGTTTTCAGAGTTATCTGTGTGACAGAAGCTGCTTAACTTCTCTGAGCCCAAGTTTCCCCATCTGCAAACCTCAAACTAGTTAATTTTATTAGGAAGTGAGGAATAAAGAATACATGCTATTCTTCTCGCCTGAGTTCATGGATGACTAGCAAAAAGCCTGTCATATCATGGACTAGGTATGGCAAGAATGACAATGCACACACTCTTTCCTGGGAACTACTCTATTACCTCAAGAAATTTAATGATTGGAACAGATGCTATGCCGTTATAATAACCTTGATTTATTGCTGGAAAATCCAAGACCCTAAGAGGCAAAGCAACATAGCTTTGATTTAAAAAAAAAAAAAAAAAGGTTTTAAATATAGGAAAGACGTTCACAACTCCACAGAAGTGTTTTGCCTTGTCAATTACTGCAATTCAGACCCTCCTTTTTGTGTGTTCACACTCAACAAATTGGCCTTTCTTAGGACAGTGTGAGTACATAGTTGTGATACAAGTTTCAATTCATATTTTCTGCTTCTATCACCATACCTGCTGTATTACTATTTCAAATCTTAATCATCAAAAGAATAAAGGTCAAAGTTTTTCACTTGGATTGACATCTAAGAAAGGCCACAAACTCAGAGCAGTTTAAATTTGAAATTCTTGAAATGCATTTGGCAATAAAAGAACACATTAGCTCAAAGTTTTTAAAACATTCTACCTTGATTTAATGATTTGCTTGCTATACTGACTTATTTAACTTTAAAACAGTTCAGGGCCGGCCCCGTGGCTTGGTGGTTAAGTGCGTGCGCTCCGATGCTGGCGGCCCGGGTTCGGATCCCGGGCGCGCAACGAGGCACCACTTCTCCGTCCATCCTGAGGCTGAGTCCCACATACAGCAACTAGAAGGATGTGCAGCTATGACATACGACTATCTACTGGGGCTTTGGGGGAAAAAATAAATAAATAAAATCTTTAAAACAGTTCACACTAGCAACCGTTATTAAAATTCTAACCAAATTCAATACATTTAAATATAATTTGATTTCATTTATATTTATTTAAAAATAAAATTTATATCTATTTAAAAATATTTATCAAATCAAATATATTCAATAATTTACAACAAGGACATAAATGATTAGCTAACTCCCTAACGGTGTACAAATGTACATTATGAAATTTTTCAGAAAATGTTTGCAATATCCCTCAGGTAAAAATATTATTAATAAAGGCTGGAATGATCGTCTATAATGATGATTAGATTTTCATTTTGTTTTCTTTGTCTCAATGTAAGGTCTTATTTACTTAATAGTACCTGATCGCACAATAAACATTTCCTCCAAGTTAATGCAACTATTAAAATATAAATAGTTTGAGAAATTTGAAAAGTTGATCATTTAAAGTATACCCATTTTCCATTATGATTCTCAAATGCCCTCAAAATAATTAGTTTTATATGTATATTTAGGGAAACAGCATTTAGATTTTCCTTCCACCTCCTTTTATTCACAGAGAAGTCTTAATAATCAACATAAAGTTTCCATGATAAAATCAAATGTTACAGGAAAATAAGAACTTTCTATTTCTGGACGCCTAGTTAAGTTAAACATAAAGTCTTATCCTGGATGTGTTTCTTACAGGTTTAATGAAGAGCTCTGGATTCACAGCTCGAAATAAGGTTGTCGTGCGGACCCCTCTGAGCCCTGGGTTTCGAAAGTCTTTCTCTTTGGGAGGTCCCTTTTCAAAGGTTGGAGGCTCAGGTGCTGAAGACATCTTGACTTATGATGATTTATTACCTAAAAATAAAATGAGACTTTTTTTCCTTCATGATTACGTTTCTTTTGATAAAGCTCTTTAAAAATCATTCTATACTCTTTTTTTCCGTGAGGCAGATTAGCCCTAAGATCTGTTGCCAATCCTCCTCTTTTTTGCTGAGGAAGATTGGCCCTGGGCTAACATCTGTGCCCATCTTCCTCTACTTTATACGTGGATGCCCGCCATAGCATGGCTTGATAAGCAGTGCATAGGTCTGCACCCGGGATCCCAACTTGTGAACCCTGGGCTGCCAAAGCAGAACTGCGAACTTAATCACCATGCCACTGGGCTGGCCCCTCTATACTCATTCTTTTTTTGAATTCCAGTCCAGGTATATATCAAAAGTGATTGTCAATTATTTTATTACTTTCTGTAACACATACTTTGTAAATGGTGCTTTAAGTTTTGTTTGGTAAAATGGTTATTTTATTTTTCTGTCTCTTAGAACAACCCAGTAAGTGGACAAAGTTTGTTTTCCCACTGTTACAGAAGACTGGAGAATGGTTTGTTGGTCTGAGTCACATTGTTTCTTGTTACATGAAGGGATACTAAGGGTAAGAGTAGACAGTGAGCTATCCACACGCTTCTCAAATGGTTTGCCTCATTTGATTTTCTCCGTTTTCCCTTCATCATCTAAATTTAGAAAGATTTGTTTCAATAGCAAGCCTTCACTGTGCGAGTTATACCCCAATCCAATGGCTGCAGAATGGCTGTGCAGTTCAAAGGGAGAAACTCAACACATGCAGGATCCAAGCACAGGAGCGTGTTGTGGGCAGAGCAACTGTCGATCAGCGAGAGGATGTTGCGTTTTGCTCCTTTCATTCTCTTGCCAACCTTTCTCGGCTCTTCATTAAATAAACCTCTCATCCTTTGGGCATGTATATTGGCTTGGTAATCACAGGGGAGCACATGAACATTTCTGAAGCACTGAGGGTTAACTGACTTGCCAGTGATAAGTGGTCTCATCTTTTGTTTAGGATGCACTACAGCAGAGTAGAGTGATCATCAATCTCCGTTTTCCTCCTTCGCAAAGTCTATTTTGGGCACCAAGGATATGAGGTAACTCGTAAAACATCTATTTCATCAGCATTTAAAACATCATTCAAGCTGTAACTAGCAATTTTTTTTTATTTCTCCTGCATGCAAGTTACTAATTTTCTCTACTGGAACAGTGTGTTTTTCACCTCAGACAGCTTCTGAAAACGATTCCATAACATGCCTGAAATTTGTTCAGCCAGCACACACTTGCTTGAAACTCATCATGCCCAAGGTTGGCAAAAAATCTAATGCTTTCTGCTGAACAAGTGGTCCATTTACATGCCCATTTCTTGCACAAACTTCTTGATACCATACAGCTATAAGGGGACCTCGCATTTGCTTCTGCTTTAGTCCCAGAATCCCTTTAAGCTTCTTCTATTTTGGCTCAATGTTTCAAAAATGTCAACAATGTAAGGAGAGTGATGCTAAATTCCTTTGCTACTTCTCCTTTCTTGTGGCAACAATCTACTGCTTCTATTGCTTTCATTTTCTTCTATGAAAACTACTGGCATTTCATCTTTCCCTCCTTGCCATGAGAGTAGGGTGGCTGGCATGTACAAATGTATTCGGGATTTAAATAACAAATGTTGGTCACCGGACGCCTAAGCTAGGCAGCAGTGATGTTTCTCCTTATGCTAATAGCATGTTTGACTACAATGCAGGGAAAGAGAAAATTCAGAAAGAAGCAATCATTAAAGTGGAAGCAACATTATAGTCTGGAATTAGGCCATGCCTATAAAAAATGTGAGGCAGGAAATAGTGAATACAATAGTCTTGTTGTTAGGACTGAATCACAGAGTACACCACTAACTGAAACTGGGGTATTAGATAAAAAGACTAGGAAGGCCTAAAAAAGCAGATATACAAAGGTAAAAGTCATTCTAACCAGAAACTGAAAAAAACAGCATTTTCCTTTAATTATTGAGAAAAAAACTGCACATAGCTAAAGATATCCGGTAGAATATGGCTTAAATTGTTTACTGGGGGGAAAAACCCCAAGGTAATGGGAGAAGTGGGTATAGAGAGCACATACCGTAGAGCACAGAAGGGGCCTCAGACCAGTTTGATGCTGGTTGATGACAGTGTGCCAAGAACAGGGGATGATAAACTCACTCCTCGCCTGAAGTCCAAAATTATATTTTTATATATATATATATGATTATGTGTCTATATATATATATAGAGAGAGAGAGAGAAGACTAGTTACAGCCAACAGAAATTTCACTATTTTAAAATTAAAGGGATGCAGTGATGCTGAATGTCATGAAATTCAATCTATATATCTGTAAAAACTGTGTATTTAAGAGTGTTCTAATATAAATTGTAATGACTTAATTTTAGTTGCAAGATTCCTTGGTCTCCTCTTTTCCTTAGCAGAACCTATATTTCCCTTGTAATGAGTCAAGGAAATAAGCAATTAAGGTATCATTACACTGCAACTTCCAGACATCTACATCCACTTAATAATGCACTATTATGTTAAAACTCTTTACCAGAAATGACAATTAAAGAACAGCTGGACTGGAAACCACTGCAAACGTTTATTGAAAGAGTTCCCTTATCAACTCATCATAAGAAACTGTTGTTTATAAAATTTTTAAAAATACAAGAGAATAGAATTTTTCACACCTGCCTGTAAAAAAGATCTAAACTCATCTGCATTTACTTCGGATGTCCCTCCCTGGTAAAAGTTCTTCGCCTTTCTCTTCTGCTCATCCTCTTGTGAAGGAAATACACGATGGGAGAAAGAAGCAGCAGAGATAAAGGACTGCCTCTCTGCACAACTCCATGAGGGTCATTCACACCTCGAATTGTGAGTGAGAACAGTGCCCCCCTGGAATTAATAGTGCACAACGTGTGGGCTGCACAAGATGGTCCCAGACAGAATGAGGACTGGTCATCTTTGAATGATTTCCCCTCCTTTAGTAAAATTCTTGCTCAGGGGGATGATCCAGAATGTATTTGGCAACTGACATTTTAAGCAATTCACTGCCATAAAATTGGCATGACTATCTATATTATATTGTACATGAAAATTAGACCGAGGTATAAAGAATATAAGTCACTTTGGGGAAAAACTTAACCTTCAGATATTCATTTTTGAAATAAGGATCTCAACAGATGATAAATCAAAACAAAATTATCAAAATCAGAATGTTAGTGAGACGAGACCTTAGTAATAATCAAAGCCTTTCTTTTAACAGACTTAGGGAATTATGAAATGCACAAAATATTTTAATGAGATATAAATACACTTGTTATTTGAGTTTCACATACTACACTATCTTAATATTTAAGAAAACAAATTGAAGTTTGAGGTAGAATACCTTAAAAATCATTTAAATTAAAATAAACAAGTTTGGGATAGAATTAGAGGACTTTATGTCTTGAGGGAATTTAGCATAGTCCCAAATTCCAACTTTGCTACTTATAAGCTGCATGTCTTTGAGTAAGTGACAACCTCTCTGAGCCTCAGTTTCCACATTTTTAAAAGGGGTAATATTATCTATTGCATGGAACTACTGTGTGGATTAAATGAGGTAATACATATATTTTTGCTGAGGGAGATTCACCCTGAGCTAACATCTGTGCCAATCTCCCTCTATTTTGTATGTGGGCCACTGCCACAGCATGGCTGACAAGTGGTGGAGGTCTGTGCCCAGGATCCAAATCTGCAAACCTGGACTGCCAAAGTGGAGTGTGGTGAACTTCACCACCACACTACCTGGCTGGCCCAAGGTAACATTTTTAAAAGGATATAATAGATGTTCAATAAATGGTAGCTATTGTCATCCTTACCACCTACTCCAATCCTTTTTTTTTTTTTAATTTTTTTGTGGGGAAGATCGGCCCTGAGCTAACATCTGCCAAGCCTCCTCTTTTTGCTGAGGAAGACTGGCCCTGGGCTAACATCCAATCCCTTTTTTAAACAGAGAAACCTAGACGCAGAGACTGTGTCTTTGCCGTGGGAGAGGGAGATAATCCAGGTCTCTCAATTCCCAGCCTGCCCCTATTGCACTTCACTCCACCTTACTCCTAAATCGATAAGACTCTGCAGTTATAAGTTATTACAAAATTTAAGAAACATAAAATTGTAATCACTTAAATTTAAAAAATGGATTCTATACTTGTTTTTAATGTAAAAATACTATTAAAAAAGAATCTTTCCGCCTGTTGAATTTACTGTGCCTGGAGAAAGGAGAAAGGTGATGACAACGGCTGTGGCGTTCAATCAGAGGGCTGGCAGGTAGTATTTGGGTCCACTCCCCCCCATATTGGGGTACCTACACGACCGCTGCCTAGTACTCAAGGACAGAGGCATCTGAGGCCTCCAGAAAAAGAAACTGCACTCACCTCGGCTAGTCATTGTGTTGCGGGGGACACACGACTGTTAACAGTTACACAAGGAAAGAGGCACCTCGTGTGCAAACAGTGACAAAACCACTTTCCCCTAAATACGAGAGTTTGGTGAGCTGGGCCACCAGGAAACTGTCCAGGAAACCGCAGGGATCCTGGGGTGGAGGTGTGCACGGGCGGGCCACTGACCAGAGGGCCAGGCTCCAGGACTGCGGGGGGCGGGACGCGGCCCCGCGGGTCAGAGGTCTCCGAGACTCGCTCCGGGCGCCCACGGAGGGGCGAGGATCCGGGACCTCGAGAGAGCGCCGCGGAGTCCGCCCACCCGGGAGTGAGACCAAGGCCTGGGACGAGCGCGCAGCGCGGCGACCACTTTGTCCCCGCCGGCCGGCCCCGGCCCCCGCCGCCGCTCACCTGCCGGGGGTCACGTCCTCTCCGCTCCGCCTCGTCTCCGCCTGCGGGAGAGAGCGGCCCGGCGCTCCCGGCCGGCTCCGCGCCGCAGCGGCCCCTACAGGCCGGAGGCTGCGGTGCAGGGGCGCGGGGGCTGCGGGAACTGGTCCCGCGTCGCAGCTCTACCTCCCAGGCCCACGCACCCGCCCGCGGGATTGGTTGCCTAG